AAGAAAATAGCTGAAATCGTCTTGTTTCAGTCTTTCACAAACAAGACTCATAAATTGTGTTTTGAAGAATTTGTAAAAATGCCAACCAATAACAATAATATCCATTTTCGTCTGTTTAAAAATAGAGTAAAAGTTTTAAGTTTGTACACAATGCAGAATAACTTTGTCCAAGTTTGGTCATTGTAGGCATTTATTTAAGGAGTTAATCACAAGTCAACAAAAACGGCGAATTAACCCTTTACTCCAATCGGATGCTAGCTTCTGCGTCGTTTGTTACGCAGAAGTACGTTTAGTGAACCAAACCAAACAATGTAGCTACATTTCGATGAAACAGCAGCCTAAATTATCAAGCTAGATTGTTTGTCAACGTGTTTAGATTTTATCTGACAATCAATAGTTAGATTTTAGTTGAACACGTAGGAAATGTGTTTAAAAAGACACGCTAAACTTACCCACGCCGATCCGTCCTTCCTCTCTACCTACTGCCGTCGAACCATCAAAGAATCCAAAAAGTGTATCCTTCCGCCGAGAGCAAAGCCCTGGTCCCCCACTGCGAGGTCTCGACAACGTTTCCTCGCTTTTAACGCTAGTACTAGCCGCACAGATAATTGTAGGTTAATGGCCAACAATTGTCAAAGTAGGCCATTAAACTATGTCTAAAGTAATTCTCGGCCTTTGGATAGAACACCAGTATGCGTAAAAACGAGCAAATCTTTCTAGATTTTTCCAGATCGAGACGCCATTGTAGTTAGCCTCCAGCTAACATCAAATGAACGGCATTTAAAGTGATAGGCGTTAGACTACGCTAAAAATCAACGTGAATGTTACGAAAAGCACACTTTTACACATATTTCCTCAGTAAATGAGTTCTGAAACAGTTTATTTTAACATATAACTACGACAGGCGCATTATAAATGCAAACAAATGAAGATTGCCCTTTTTAAAAGAAGGTCGCAGGGCCATTTATATGATTGTATTCACGATTCCCCTGTTTCTACTATTGAGTTCAATCACAGGATCCCTCGCAAAAGTTTTCACAACGTTTTAACTTTTCCACTTTTTCTAATGTTACAACCGCAAACCACACTGTATTAATTTTAGATTAATTTTATGACAAGAAAACGGAAAGTAGTGCCTAACTATGACGTAGAAGGAAGAGGATACACGGTGTTTTGTTTCTTAACATTAAAGTATGAAAAGTGTGGTATTTATTTGTATTCAGACTCTTTTTCCACAAGCTTTATACATCTAAAAACTGAAATCTGCCCCTTTTATTCTTTATAAAACAGCTGAAACTCAAACTAGATGGATATAATAAATACTCGTATCTGGATTAGGCCAAAACTTTAGGTGGATCATGAAAATGCTTTTATGTAAACCATAATATTGTTGCTCTGATTGTTTTATTTAGGGTCATTGTCCAGCTGGAAAGTAGATCTACGTTCCCTAGTCTCCATCTTCCCATCAACACTTAGCAACTTCTTATTCTTTCGGTTTTACGGCGGTTAGCAGCCATTTTACATGGAGAATTACCGCCACCAACTGGACTGGAGTGTGAATCATGAGAGTACGAACAATAAAAATATGTAAATTATTTTAAATCAAAACTTTGCTTTCCAGCAAACCATGTAAATTATTGGTAATAATTATTTGGGATCCAGAAAGCCAGATAGAAACTATAGATAAAGCAATTATCACCTCATTTGGTGAGGAAAAATGAAAATATTACACACCAAAATATAGGAAATTAACTTCCATTGTAAGAGATGCAATGATTTTCTTTACAGAACATCATTATTGCAATGAAGCAAAACAGGAGCGTGTTTAAAGTTAATAATTCCTTAGACAAAAAGGAATTATTTGAAACAAGGTCATATTTTGCTGAAAAGTAACATAAGTTTGTTTTGTACTATTTCAAGGGTACTGATGTATTTGAACTAGAAACTAGATATAAAAAAATACTTGGCTAGAGTTTGTGTTTTTGCAGTGAAGTTCAAACCATCCCTTCATATCCCCTACTCCAACGTCTTTCTACCAGTACAATCAGACAGAGATCTAAAGTAGCAAAAGCAAATGAGGTGGATTAGCAGTGTTCCAAAAACTAAACGTTACTGTTGAATATTGTCTTTGTTCCTGGTTCTTGTTAGCAGGTCATGATAGTCTTCTGTCAGAGACTTCTTCAAATATGTTGTGAGACTGACTGCTTCTGGAGATCCTTCCCTCTGAAGAGACGACGACTCTTTGAAGATGATATGAGTTAAGACATTTAATTTCCCTCTGGTGTAAAGTGTTTTAACTTTGTCAGACTTTGTCTCTGTTTTAGCCAGTTTTAAAAATGGTAAATTCAAACTTCCCTGTGAATTTTTGACAGATAATTAAAGTGTATTTATGCTGTGAAAATTATGCTTTAACCTGGAAAAATAATCAATGAATAATGGCTCTTACATTACATGATGTAATGTAAAAGGGAGTTATGGATAGGTAGATTTTTCCCACAAAGTGAATCATTTAGACCAGGTTTTTCAAATTGGGGGCCACGGCCCTCCAGAGGGCCACCAGGGGGCGGTAGAGAGGCCTCTGAAAGTTGGACAGAGGATTGAAAAATGAAAAATTAAATCTAATAGGTCTTTTAATTATAATTTTTAGATCTAATCTACTTTTCAATTACACATGGTTCCCACAAGTCTGAACCAGAAATGATTTGTGCCACTCAACCGCCATCTTGGTAGGCAAAGCACAGATGAACCATGGCTTCAAGACCATCTAAAAGAAAGTATATTAGGAAAGAAAAAGTTTAAGACTTAATAGTTGTAATGTACTGATATTTACAAGTTAGATAGGAACGAAACAAGAGCTAATTCTGAGCTAGCAACTGCCTACCAAGATGGCCGACAGCTACAAAGTAGTATTTTAACTTATAAAATACAAGTTAAAAAAACTTATTGAAACGTAATTTGCCAACGTTAGGAACTCATGGCCGACTAAAATCAGAAGATGTGAAACAGAATAAGCTAAACGTAATAATTACTGAATAGTGAATAAAAGTGAGTGGAAAAGCAAAAATGCTTACAGAAAGAACAAGAACTGACACCTGTTTGTGTTTTGTGCAGCAATGCTGCTTTTTATTATGTAAAAAATTATAAAACCAGCTACTAGTACAAGTGTTTTTCTCTCTAAACTGTTGCAAAACAATATAAAAAACTCAATCTCTGTATCTGAGATGATTTTAAAGGAGAGATTAATATGAAAAAAATATATACTGTTAAAAAATACAACAGTGCCCTAAAAACAACTACTCTGCAGATATGGTCTAGTTTACATGCCTAAAAATACAAACACACACAACATAAAACTCCTAAAAATCTGCTAAAATGTTCAGAAACATCAAGCTGGATGACGGGATAATATTCTAAAAGCAAAGCAAACTAGTAATACTTGTTAGTTTAAAGCAGAATATAAGCGGTTATAATAAAAATATAAACTAAGCATGAAAAAAATAAGGTAAAAAGTGTTCTTATGAAGGCTGGAGCGTCTGACAGGAATCGTTCCTGCTAAACAAAGTCTTGTAAACCTTTTTTTACAGTACGTAAAAAGAAACCATACATGATGAGCAGATCCCAGATTTCAACACCTGATCGGGTGACAGTTTACATTACAAGTCACTTCCAGCACAACCTGGCAGGAAAACATGTAGAGCTCAGAGGTTTCTGGTGGTTACAGTACAAAATGTTCAGAAATGTGCAGATTTCCCCGAACGGCCGGAACAAGTTTCAGACGTTCAGCAGTCAGTAGCAGAACACGAAGGGAGCCGTTTGGTTTAAAACTGGTTCACATTTTCTTTTTGCCGTCTAACAGATCAACGCCAGCAGATCAGACAGAATCAGACGCTGAAAACTTTCTAAATAATCTTAAGATTTGCTTCCAAATCCAAAAACAGGAGCAGAACATTTTGGAAGCTTTTAGGGAAGATTTGAACGTGAAAAAAAATTAGATTCAAATGCAAATTCACCTAATTTATTTTCCCCATTTTCATCTATTTTGAGCACTAAATTAAAGTTTATCCACTTATTTATTGTTCTTATTTTCAGCAGAGTGAACTCTGCTACAAAAGCACAAAATCTTATAAAGTATTTTTAATTTAATTTATAATGCAAATATCTTAGAACACTGAAAAAAGAAAAATAACTCAAGTAACTTTCATAGAATCATGTAGGAGCTTGTTTTCAATATTGAGGTAAAGATATTTAACCTGTAACTTTCATCAATATCTAAGGATTTGTTGACTTAAAGTCCTAAAAAGTTACATATAGGTAAGTTTTGTCTTATTTTGGATCCACTAAAACATTTAAAATAGAAACTAGATGAAAAATACCGACTAAGATTTTCTGTTTCACAAAATAAAAACGCCAAAAAAGAAAAAAATTGTTTTGATTTTACCGGCCTCATTTTGGTTTTTTTCCCAAGTATTTTTGTTTAGTTTCTTTTCTAAATATACTTAAAATAAGAGAAAACGAACTTTGAAATAACTTTTTGCCAACAGGTTTTAATTCATCAGTAATTTTGATGAATTAATACTAGATCAGCATTTATATTAGAAGAACCTTTTCATTAACGTTAAGGAATGACTGTTGAAACAAGCTCTGGAACGTTGGTTTTGTCATCTTTGAAGTGTAATAAGATATTTGCAGTAGAAACTAGATGAACATACTTGGTAAGATTTTGTGTTTTTGCAGCAAAGTTGCGTAAAACAGCTCTGCTCACTCAGGTTTGATAAACTTCAGTTTAATGGTCAAAAATGAAAATGAGGAAAATAAAGGAGTTTTTTTTAAGTGCCGGTTTTGTTTTTACCAATTAAAATGTGAATGAAGTGGATTCGTTTAGATTTTAATCGGCCTTATGGCTGGTTATTTTCTGAGCGGCTCAGGAAACGGACCGGTTTTCAGGGAGTTTAAAGAACTCCGATTCTGGATGATCCGATCAGCTTTTTCTCTTTTCAATCATCCAGTGAGAGCCGCTCTCATTTTCCAGGAGCTCTGGTTCGAATCAAAGTAACTCTCTCCATGCGAAAGTGTCTGACAGAGTGAGACGTCTTCAGGTCCCTGCGGTTATTCGCAGGCGAAGTAATCTTTGAGCGGCGCGAACAGATGCCTGATGACCGGGACGCTCCAGGACCGGCCCAGCAGCCGCTGCCGGGCGCCGCGGCCCATGTTCGACACATCGGTGTAGTGGACCGGGAATCCAAAGATCCTGACGAAACAACAGTAACAAAAAGCATTAAGAGTCTATATGGTAGGCTGTTTGAGCATAAAATCAGTTCCACCAGATGTCTAAAATTGGTTTATGATTAGACTTATTAGGTCAATCACAATAAGCAATAAATAAATCAATCACATGATCAATTAAAACAATATCAATCATTTTCATGGTTTGTTGTTTTTTCTGTTTCTACCACAAACTGGCTGATAAAATGTTTAGATGTTTTGATCTCATCCAGCCATTTTTAAAGATAATTTTGCTTGTAGAGACTTCATAATTCATTTTATTTGTTGTTTTGTTTATTTGGGATATTTAAAATGTTTTCCAGCTCCAGTGTTAAATGCTCATTATAACGTTTATTAATCTTTAAGAATGTCTTTTTGCATTATTATCACTATACGAGCTGAAAATGTTCTCAAAATGACAATATTTTCATTTAATGCAATAATTTCTGGGACAATTTATCATCCAGCCAAATTTGTTAGGCCTGTCACCAAAACCAATCTTCCTAGTCAATAAATTGTCCCAGAAATGATTGCATTAAACGATGATATTGTCATTCTGAGAACATTTTCATCTAATAATAATAGACATTTATGTAAGTACATCCTCTCAAAGCTCAAGAAAACGTGAATTTCTCATGAACATTTAACGATGGAACCAGGAAACATTTCAAATATCCAAAATAAAAACAATTATTTTGCACTTCCCGTCTCTTTTGCCCGTTTTCCCTGTCTATGCTGAATAATTGTTATTTTTGAAAGTGTAATTTTGGCTCTTGAGACTTCTTATCCATTTTAATTATTGTTGTTTGTTTTGGATACTTAAAATGTTTTCCAGTTTTAGTGTTAAATGTTAATTAGAAATTCAAGTTTTTTTAAGCTTTGAGAGGGTGAACTTACATGTCATTATTTTGGATATTAGTTGAAAATGGTGTCAATATAACAATATTATCGTTTAAAGCAATAATTTCAGGGAGAACTTATCGTCTACTACATTTATTTCTAATGTGTCTAGTCGTAAACCAGATATGAGGACTGTGAGCGTTGGAAGTGATTTTATGCTAAAACGGCCTGCCGTAGAGGCTGTCCTGCTCACCGCTCCAGCTCCGTGCACCACAACACGTCCTCCTTCCCGTTCATCAGCACCGGGAAGTGCTGGTCCTTCCCCTGTTTGATGGAGTTGGAGCGAGTGGTGATGGTTCGCACCTTCCCAAACTGACAGAAACACGAGCCGTCAAACTCCCAGTGGAAAACTCTGCAGGGAAAATCCTGATTAACGTGTTTATGTCTGACCTTTGCGACCCGTCCGTGGTCCAGACACTCCTGCAGCTCCAGCTTGTCCATCCCAGAGGCGCAGCGTGGCCTGAAACACGCAGTTTCACTACAATCAACGTAAAGGTAAGTCTGAGAAGCAACAGTAGGCGATTCCCTGCGTACCTGTTCATCCCCGGCAGGTTCCCCCAGAAGTAGCGCGCACGATGGGCGGCGGAGACCTCGATGGCGTCGATCATCACAGGGTTGCACTGCGAAACACACAGAGGTCAGAGGTCAGCTGGGATATGTCTGTCACATGAAGAGACAGAAAGTGGCATCAGAAATCTATAATCTTGACTTGAAAACTCATTCAGCCCAGTTTAAGCTAGCTAGAAGCTAGCTAATGCTAGCTCGAGTTAGCTAGCATTAGCTAGCTCAGGGGTCTAACAAAACCAAAGAGAAAATGTTTTCATTATGAATGCAACAATAAATGGTCATTTTAGAAGGTTTTCTATAAGTTCTTAAAATCCACAACAGAATTTTAAAAGTAGCTAGCTTCAAGCTATGCTAACTATTTATCTTCATTTTTTCCATATTTAAAGAAAAGACGCACCTCATTCTACTTTGTTCCTCTTGTAATAAATTTATTTTGTTCTAAATTGAATAAACTTTACTAATTTGTTAGCTCTCATAAAATATTTTGTGCATAAGAAAATCGTTTTTTTACATCTCCAGGTGAGTTTTATTTTGTAGCATCGGAGGCAAAAGTGTGTTTTTGAATGGAAAAGGTTGCTAATCCCATATCAGGTGAGATGTGTTAATATCTATGGATTATTTATTCTCATAATTTTATAATACATCAAATTTTTATAGCTTTTTGGACACACAAGATGCTTTACAAAAGAAAAAATAAGTAAATAGATCAATAATTATAATTTATTAATTTATTCTTGCAATTTTATTTTTTCTTAGTATGGCTCCAATACTCTGTCATACTAATAAGATTAAAAATAGCTTTCTTGTTGAGCTCATATTTCTATTTATCCAACAATATAGCAGCAAAAAAAAAATTAAAAATGTTGCTTATTTTGATTTTGATTAACTGCAATAAATTAATTAATTACAGAACTACAATTTAACTCGAGTAAAAGTTTTCCCACGACTTTAACTCCTGATTTTAAAGTGTTGTGGTCCAAAGCGAGTGCGGATGCGTTCGGCTGACCTCCAGGAAGCGGGAGATGTCCCTCTTGTCGTTGACGCCCATGGCCACCACGTTCTCGAACATCCAGAAGAACGGACGGTCTTCTCCTTCTTTGGGCTTGGCCTCGCTCAGCAGGCGGTAGAACTCAAAAAACAGCCTTCCTGTTCCTCCTGAAGCAAACCAGACTCACATCAGGGTCTAGTTACAACTCTACGCGTTACTGGCATTAACAAAAAGCATTAAAAACACAGAGACAACGCTGTGTGTAATTGATGATGTGTTTTATATAGAGATTTTGTTAAAACAACTAGAAAAAAATACTTTTCACACACTACAAAAATGTTAAACAGGAATCCACAAATGTACCAACCAAACAGGCCTTTTCTGGCCGGATTCACGATGGACAGGTCGTTGCAGGGACTTCCTCCGATCACCAAGTCAAAGGGCCCCCACTCCTGAATCTGAGACAACAGCACCACCTGGTGTTAGAATGTGGGAATTACGTCGGAAGAGCCAGCAGTTTAACGGTACAAAGTCAAATTAACTCCGGGTTTTAAGCCTTTATGAGATGAAAATGGGGGTTAATTTATCACAGTCATGTTTTTACCATATTTTTGACCAATTGATTTTATTTAATTGGGACACTGCATATTAATCAAAATGCTCATTTCCATAAAAAAACAAAAAACAAAATACAAACATTTATACAATTTCATGCATAAAATCAAGAAATACAGTAAAAACAAATGAAAACATATACATGGTTGGAAAAACTACTTTAAGAGGCTTTTATCAAAAATGCTGCTTTATAAAACTGTCATAAACTGATATTTTTATCATATTTATCATATTCACTAATTTCTAATTGTCACAGTTTCAAACTAAATATTAAATTAGCAAAATATTTAACTCTGAGGGATCTAGAGCTAGATAAAATATTTTAGCTATAGTAGCTAATTGTCTATAAAAGCTAAACAGATATTCAATATTTAGATAATATTTAGATATTTAAATATTAATATTAAGAGCTAGCAAGATGTTAATGTTTAGCATCTAGCTAGTCCTTATAGTCCCATAAGTGGACTATCAAAATAAAAGCTAATTAATTTCCATCTTGAAATGCAGAGTGGTATTTAAGTGTAGCATATTAATTTAACAATTTAAAAACACTGACTCTACAGAAAACATGGTAGCAAGTTTAATATCTTTTGTTTTTAAAGTTTGAAACAATGAGCAAAATGTGCAAATATTATTGCACAATAAAGTTAAATGATGCTCTTGGGGGGCCCCCTGGTGGTGGTGGCCATAAACAGCCCTCAACTCGCAATGCCTCGAGCTGGCTCTGGTTTTCTGCACAGTGTGGCTTAATAATTGTTCTGAGAGTGTTGTTTTTTTTTCTGCAAATGGCATAATTCTGAGTCTGTACACTCCAATAAGCAATCAATATCTAAAGTAGTTAATAATTATTAACTACTTTAGTTAATAATTATTAACTAATCCAGCAATCGATTGCTGGAATGATTAATCAGCAATCGATTAATCATTCCAGGTGGTTAGGATGTTTCCTTCAAGCTCAGCTCAAACGTTTCTGCTCGTGTCTTGGAGAGAGAAAAGAAGCAGCTCTGTCCAAGGAATCGTTAAATATGGCCGCTCCGGTCCAACCCGACTCTGAACCGCCGTCTCTTACGTTTTTCCTGGAGATGTTCCTGACATCATGGACGTACTGGATCTTTCCTTCATGTCTGACCACGCCCACCGAGATCGAGTCCTCACACACCTCCGACGCCACGTACTGGTCCACTTTAAAGCCCAGATCCCTCAGAACCAAGTAGCCTGAAGCCAGAAACACAAACAAGACATCAACAGAAACATCAAATCAGAAATAAAGGTTTCATGACGTCAGTTCCTCAGTTTCCCCAATAAGGAGAGATTTTATACAGGAGATGAAATGTTGGAGTAAAAAGAGGTTTTGTGGTTCCTCACCAGTAGCAATGCCATCAAACAGGGAGAGGACTCTGATTGGCCTACGCTGCTCAGCAGGGACTGCTGGGTAAATCTTTGGTTTTTCCTGCAGAAGAAGAAGAAAAAACACTGAAGGTCAGTGGGTGGGTGTGTGGGTTAATGTATGTATGTTTGTATGGTTGGTTGGTTGGTTGGTTGGTTGGATGGCTGGTTGATTAACTTCATGTTTCAGAACTTTGCCTTCTTTAAAACCTTGAAGGTAAATGTAACATTCTGACAAAAACAAAGATGGCGTCGCCCATCTGGAGGCCAAACCGAGCGGTTAGACTCACGAACTCCTGTCCTTTATCGTTGGCAAAGAACTCTTGCAGCTTCAGGCTCCAGTCGTGGCGCCGTTTCAGGACGCCGTACTGCAGCAGCGGCTGGCACATGTAGCAGCGCCAGGGGTCCTGGTACCGGGCGTTGTTGGATGCCCCGGGGTCCACCAGGATGTCCAGGCAGTCCACGCAGAAGCACCTGGTGGGACGACACAACGAGGCGCTAGCATTACAGCACGTCTAACTGTGGAAGAAAGAGCTGAAAACATTTAGCTAGCGGAGCGCTAACCGTAAACCAGTGAAACGACAGTTCTGCTACAGCTAAAGAGCTGTACTGACAGCATTTAGAGGAAGCTAATGCTAAATGCTAACTCCAACCATGTGTCAGTAACACAACAAAGTAGATAAACGTTAACAGGGTACAAAAAATACTAGTATGGAAGTGATTCTCCTGGTTTCTGTTTTATAGTTGCTGAGTTTTGCTAACTCTGTTGCTAATTTTGCCTAATTGACCACAGCAGGGCTTCGGTCATAGAATATCAGTTAAACTATAGATCCTGAATATAGAATAATCGTCACATCACCTGTCGAGAACGTGAGGAGAAAAAATGAAACAATCTTCAGCCACTTCAAAATAAGAGGATGAATATAAACATCTAACTCTTTGAAGAGTTCGTAACTCGTGCCAGATTTCTTAAGGCTAGTTAGCTTAGCCACCAATGACGGTAGACAAAGTTTCCTGTAGCGGTATGTTGCTTCTCTGACATTAGCACATTGGGCAGCGAGTTCATGAGGATGAGTGACAGCGCTAAGCCCCTCCTCCTGGCTCTGATCATTTTGGTCAGAGCTCAGGGATAAAATAGATTTTTTTCACAGATTATCTGTCTCACATTACGGTGACATTTTTAATAAATATGTAAAACATTTTTTAAATAAAGTTGCAAACAGCAGCTTTAAACTCTGCTTCAAATAATTTTATAACCTGGAAAAGATCTGACCATTTTGTAGGTCCTGATGGGTAAAACTCCAGAAAGACTCCATGTTTTTTGTGTCCTTGTATAATGTTTTCAGTTTTTCTGTCTTTCTTGCAGCTGAATTCCTGAACGTTTTTCTGGAACGGACCTGCAGCAGTTGGCGTTTCCGCAGAGCAGGACTTCTCGGCCTCCGCAGCAGACCGTGCAGTAGGACTGGTAGCCATCGTCATCGTACATGTAGGAGATCTCTAGGTACACATCCTAAACACACACACACAGCAGCGTTTTATCACCGCCGTCATCCTCTGGTTCAAAGATCCGATCTGGAGCGGACCTCACCTTACACGTTTGGCACAAGCCTCCTTCAAAGAGCGGGTGGAAGGTTGCTGCCCTCATCTTTCCACATGAGAGGCAAAACTCTGATGAATCGGAAAAACACAGGCGAGTCGAATCAAAACACGGATAGGAGTTTGTGCGCTGCAGCAGCGTTAGACACCCAGACTGTACCTTCTATACTTCGGTTCTTTTTCTGTACTTCATTCACCATTTGTTCTGGCAGAAAGAAAAACGTTGAAACAACGTGAGAGACAGTATTTTGTATGGTATTTTTAATTAAGACCATTGCACAGGTGAGCCCTACCTCTGCTACAGGGCTCCTCCGGCGCAGCCTTGGCCTTGCAGGGGCTGACTTTGGGTCGCTTCGCGCTGGGGAAATACTCTGGCAGGGAAACGTTGAGGATCTGGTGGTCCAGCGGGTTACTGCCTGCAGACACACAGACAGACGCTCACACTCCTCTCCTGCATGCGACTGAACTCAGGTTGTCTTTAGCTCACTGGCGCTGCGTGTCGGTTTGAGTCCTTCCTCTCCTTTGGGCTGGAAGCCGCCGTTGGCCCAGTCCAGCATGGGCTTGATCTGGTCCTCGGGATTGTCCGTCTCACAGGGGGGAAACGTCTTCTCCGCCCTGACACTGGCCATCTGAGACGGCGACAAAACGTCACAAAATCTCAAATTCACCTGTTTGACTGAGCAAATCTGACCACACATTGCGAGGTGTCCAGACCCACCGAGAAAAAAAACACCAGAACAGATTATTCAGGTTCACAAAAACAGACGAGGTAAAAGGTTTTGGTAACAGCTAAAATATTAAAGTTTTGATAATCGTATTGATGTTTTTTGCTTATTAAAAATATAAGCACTTCAATAAAAATCCTCACTGATGATCAGAGTAAACAAAAATTTGTCATGAAGTGGTTTGTGGTGGCGAGTATGAACGCAGGCAGGACCCAGAATGAGAGGTGGTGAGTTTAATAGGAAGTAGCTCAAAAACAGTCCAGTTCAGGTGGCTCGGCAGTTTAAACCGGAAGCAACTGAACCTGAAAGACTGACAGCCGACCAGGACACACAGCAGCAAGGAGCAGACAACAGGTGGAACTAAACACACAGGGAGGGTAATCACAGGAACGAGACACAGCTGGGTCAATCGGGACAGGAGGCACAGAGACTCAGGGGAACAGAAATAAACAGAAAAACCTCAAAATAAATACACAGAAAACACAGATCCTCACAAATTATACTGAAGTAGCAGTGCTTCAACATATTTTTACTAAAATACCGAGTAACTGATCAAATTATCAATCATTTAATATTTAAAAATACATCAGATGGACCCAAATATAAAGTTATGTGGAAATGTTGGTATTTTAAGGATGAAAATGACAATAAATCATTTAATAAAAAAATGACAAAATCAGGCAAAATAACTTTTTTTCCAAATCAGTTTCTTTCAATAAAAAACTGATGCAACTTTAACAGAAACTGCAGGTCTGAGTCTGTCTGGTGGGTATTTTGGTTAAAACATGTTTGGTTTTCATTCAATGAGTAGAAAACAATTTACTCAAGTCAGAGCAGAAATAAAAGGTAAATCCAACTGGCTGATATAAAGTTAGTTGATGTTTTTGGGCCTGAAATAAAAGTTTAAATGATTAAAAACACAATATTTGTTTTACCTCTAAATCAGTGTTTCTCAAGTCCTCACACACACACACTCTGCATGTTTTAGGTTTTTCCCTTCTGCCACCTGAATTGTATCTCTAGGTGATTAACAAGTTTCTGCAGCTCCTGATGGTCATGCAATCATTTGAATCAGCTGTTCTGGAACAGAGGCTCATCTAGAACATGCAGAGCAGGGGGCCTGAGGACCAGGGTGGGGAAACCCTGGGCTAAACCGGTTTTTCATGCCTTTTATATTTAAACAGAAAAAGGAATTTGAGAGAATTTTAAACCACATTTCAACTTTACGGATCAGCAAAAACAACCAGGAAGTGGTTCTGTTTTTATCAATGTGTAACAAAGACCTGTGTCCTTTGTTAGATCACACACACACACACACACACACACACACACACACACACACACACACACACACTGCTGGGAAGCTCCAGGTAGATCGGTCGTTTCCTCTCAGAGCGTTTCATGCCAGACAAATCTGTTTCCTTATCTGCTTCACGCTTTATAGATTTTTCAGAATGTAAACAGAGACATCGCCAGCTAGCATAACTGCTAAACCAGCTGAGTTTGACCTGAAGCTCAAGTTCTGACTGGCTAACAAAACCTCGCTCCAAAGCTTTAAAAATTGAGAAAATATTCATCTTTTACAGACTTTCTCCAGCTGAAGTCACTGTTGAAGGAACTCAAATTTCCATTTCTGCAGTCAGAAAGAACCAGGCGGAACATTTAATGGAAAACTGCACAACATCAAAACAAATCCATCCAGTGTGAATGCAGTTAATTTGTAAATAAGAATGTGTAAATATGCTGCTCAAAAAAATAAAGGGAACATTTCACTTTAATTTTGTGTGTGGCTCCAAATCCAGGCCTCCATTGGTTAATAAATTTGATTTCCATTGATGATTTTTGTGTGATTTTGTTGTCAGCACATTCAACTTTGTACAGAACAAAGTATTCAATGAGAATATTTCATTCATTCAGATCTAGGATGTGTTATTTGAGTGTTCCCTTTATTTTTTTGAGCAGTGTTGTTTCTGGACCTGCTGGAGACATTATTCTGTATGGAAGTTATCTGAGTGTAAACAGACGGTTTATCGCCGTCTGTAACGGTGGAAACGCTGAGAGCAGCTCTGGTAGTTTACATAAGCCGGCATCTCCACTTCTCAGGAACTGAATCTGATGAAACATCTGTCCGAAAACGGCTGCAGGGGTTTATTGGACTTATCACTTACTGAAATCGACTAACTTAGCGAAGTCCAGGCAGGACAGTAAGTTTTGCTCCATGTAACGTTGAAGCAGAAATGAAAATGCAGAGGAAGAAACGGAGGAAGAGGAGAGATTTGGACGTTTACGGTTATCATCAGGTTCTAAACATTTTCATAAATATATTAGAACGATGTGGTACAAAGACTTAAAGATGCCACTTTAAAACATTCATTCATTATCTTTCAATTTGTTTTGACTTTGCGTTAGCGCCTGCTAAAGGTGCTAGCTCTAACTTCAGTGTTAACTTCAATCAGTGATGTTAGCTCTAAACAACGTCACAGCAAGAGCTAACGCCGTTAGCTCTTGCTAACGATGCTAGCTCTAAGTAAAGGTATTAGGTGTAACTAATGGCATTAGCTCCTGCTAATTTTGTTAGCTCTAACTAATGTTAGTTCCTGCTTGTGCTAGCTCTTACGGCAACAGCTCTAATGATGTTTCCTCTAATTAATGATGCTAGCTCCTGTGTTAGCTTTTGCTAATGATGTTAGCTCTAACAGATGGTATTAGCTCTAACTAATGATGTCTCTAATAAATGATGCTAGCTCATTAGTGTTGGGTCTAACTACTCGGGCAATCAGCTGCGTTAAACTTGAAAAAGTACCTCGACTGCCTGAAAGATGGCCTTTCGGTAGGAGGCCAGCTTGGTGTACGAAGCCTGGCTGAAGAACTTGGGGAAGGCCATGAGAGAGTCCAGCTTGTCTGCTGAAACCTGGACAAAAATCACATGGAAAGGTTCAAAACCCAAGATAAACACAGCTTTTCCTGATCTTTTCTTCAAGACGGCTGGGCGTTTTTACCTCAGAGAACTTTCCGTCTCCGAACCACTGCAGCCACCTCATGCCGTGGCTGGCCTGCCGTTTGCCCATGGCGCGCCACGTCACCACGATGCCCGGCCACCAGGAGAAACCCTTGATCTTCCCCCAGACCAGCTCACCGACTCCAAAACCTTTATTATCCTGCAGACAGAACAGGAAGACAGTGAGCATCCATGAAGCTTCAAGGTTTCAAATGTCTGCAAAACTTTATTAATATTCTTCTAATGTCGAAAAAACACCATTTCACATTTGAGGTGTTTCCATTAAAATAAGAATCACAATCACGTGACAAGTCGTTAAAAACACGCCACGTCATGATCCTCCAGCTACTTCCTGTTGTCGTCTTCTTTGCTGTTTTCGCAAGTGGCTATGTCCGGTTGTTGATCATGCGACTCGTGATGTGAAAAAAGTGTTTCATTGCAGCTTTTGCAAAATAAACCATTTTTGATACAGCCAAAAAAACACTGCCACATCTTAGCAACAAACTTTTATTTTTAAATCAAAAAACTCATTTTTTTCCAAATTGTGTGTTTCCATTAAGCAAATGTATCTCAAAAATATCAAATTGTGCAATTATATCATCAATGGAAATGCAGCTTGTAGAGGAAACAGACGTAGAAAAAAAATTCTTTATTCTGGAATGGAAAAAAAGATTCCTAACTATTTAATTTAACAAAATAAAACAGGACATAAACTAAACCAAAGTTAACTAAATCTATATTTAGCACACAAAAGTAGGGATCCATCTTTTAATCAACAATTTAGTTTATTAGTTTGTTTAACACAGGAACATTACAAGAAAATTCCTTCAGGTCAGTGGAAAGTTTCAGACGAATATATCTAGTATTTAAAATCGGTATTAAATATTAATATTGCTAAATAAAATAAATTAAATATATTTCCTTTTGGATTTTGGTTTTGCTTGCGTTCATGCTTTGATCCATTCTTTTTTGTTCATTTATGTTCTGCAAGTCTTGCCATACGAGTTAATTTTTCTGTGCTCATTGTTGGTCAAAAGGTGTTGCCATACATGTTAAGTCCATTTATGTTTATCTTTTTAGTTTATTGTTCTATTTTGTTGGTTTTTGAGTCTTATTTGCGTTCAAACAAAAGGCCTTGACACTCTGGATACCCGTTTTGCTTGTGTAATCAGATTTTTTTTTTGCGTGGTCGTTCATGCTACTAATTAAATGCGAACGCAATCATTTCTGTGTGAACGGGTTTCAACCTAAAACCATTCAAGAATCCTGGGATGAAAAGTTTTAGTTTTCCAAATAAACTGTTAGTTTGAGTCTTTAATTCCTGTCTGCCTGTGTGTTAAAAGGCGAAACGGAAAGCAAACAGTGACTCAGCACTACGACTGTGATGCAGCAGATTCAGCAAAAATATTTAATTTTGCATTTTGGGCTGCAGTTTCTTCAAATTCTGCTTTAAATGTTGTACTTTTGAATATAGTCACCAACAGGAAGTGGGGAAAAAAGCAAACTAATGTGTTTTTTATAGCATTTTTTAATCACTGAGGTCATTAAAGTGTTTCCAAAGAAAACGATTTGGCAGCGTGTCGCAGTCTGACTTAACAAGCAGATGTTTTGCTGAGTTCAGCCAGAACTTTGTGTGAAAACAACCGCAGAGAACAGAGAGCATCCAGGGAACATGGCGGCCTGCAGACCTGCCCGGATCCATCAGGAGCTTTTTATTAGCATGCTAACGCTAAATGCTGCAGGAGGAAACAATTCCTAAAAAATAAACTGGGATTTTCTTAGACTTCATCATTTCATCTGTTGAAGCTGCAGTAACTTTTATAAGATGTTTCTTTACATGTTTGTTAAAACTGACACCAGGTTATGAGACAGATGATCTGTGAAAAGATCAATATCCTCCAACTTCTCATTGAGCTACTGAAGAAATTACCAAAACAACAAATCAGAGCCAGGAGGCGGGTCTTAGCGCTGTTAATAATCCTCATGTACTTGCTACTAAATGTTGCAATGGCGGAGAAACAACTCACCACTACAGAAAAATAGTTTATCCACCGTCTTCTGTGTCTATGCTAGCTAGAATAGCATTCACAGCAGGATCTGTTGATGGGTAAAAACTGGCAGCTCCACACAAGATGATGACTGACAGCGCTAAGACCCGCCTCCTGGCTCTGATTGGCTGTTTCCAGTTAGCACTGGAACAAAGTAAAGCTCAGTTTTTTAACAGATCATCAGTCTAATATCATGCTGTCATGACACAGTAACAGTTTCAACAAATATGTAGAAAAATATTTTTGTTTTAATATGTTCCAATGGCAGATTATTGCACTTATAACATGGGAACATTTATCTATTTCTTCATCAATATTAAGGAATTATTTATGTAAAAAAAGCTCCTATTTCTTGCTGAAAAGTTACTTGTAAGTTAGTTTTGTGTTATTTAAAGTGAACCAACATATTTGCACCAGACACTAGACCAAAATTACTTGGTAAGATTTTGTAGTGTATTGAATAAAACTGAAAGCAGAATGGGGCTGAAAATAGACAGTTTGCAGGAAACAACAGTGTTTTTGTAAACCTACTGAAGGAGATGAACTGTTTTAAAGTCTAAAGAGGCTGTGGATGAAATGTGATGAATGCGGCCTGAACTGAGGGAAGGAAAACAGTTCGACTCACGTTGTATTCTGGCTGGACTTCGGAGCTGGACGTGGTGCTGCTGCTCTGGGCCGAGTCCTTGGAGTCTTGCTCCATCAGCTCCAAACATGGCTCCTCTGGCGTCTCCCTGGCAACGACGCCGGCGGCTCGGCGAGGACCAGTGGCGTACTGGATGCGGGAAACACAAAAGATTAGATAAAAAACTACCAGAAGTCTACAGCCTTTTATTTATATATGTACATAAAAAAAAATATATATATATGTAATTTATTAAATTATTATACATTATTTATGAATTATTTATATACATATTATAAGTGAAATGGTAATAGTATTAGTACTATTTCATACATTTCTTCTAATGAAAAGAAGAAAATCAAAGTTGGTGGCCAACATCAGTCCAGAAGCTTCTGACCCCTGGTTACCAACGGCAACAGGGAAAGGGCAGGAGCTGGTTGCTACGGTAACCACCAACCACAGCAGAGCAGAACTTAGTACGCTAATAAATATCTGGAGAAAATAACTTAATCTAACCAAGTATTTTTGGTCTAGTTTCCAGTAAAAAAAATATTTTTACACTTGAAATAATACAAAATTTACAAGTAACTTTTCAGTAAGATGCAGAAACTTGTTTTAAGTCAGTAATCCTTGAACACTGACTTTTTAAAAAGGTACTAGCAGACTTTTCATTTCTAACAAGAGATTTTTCCCATGTTTTAAGTGAAATAACATTTTGGTTATAAGAATGATCCCTAATTTTATTTCTCTAATAATAATAATAATACTATTATTTAATTTGTAAGAAAATATTAGGTGAAATAATCTGCCAGAGGACATTTTCATCCATATGAAGGGATTGCTAACATAAAACAAGCTCCTGTATTTTGCTAAAAAGTTACTTGTAATTTAGTTTTGTCTTATTTCAAGTGTACTAAGATATTTGTACTGGAAACTGGGCCAAAAATACTTGGTATGTTTTTATGTTTTTGCAGTGTAAACATCAGTTTTTAACCCAGTTTTACACATCAGGCCGATAAGATGTGCCGATAGCGATGCTAATGCAGGATCGTCCCTGGCGTTTACCATGACTGTGCTTTGCTCCTTTTTGCGGTTCTGCCTGCGGTGCTTGGTCTGCGGGTTCGCCGCCAGGCCGGCCTGGTAGATGGTTCTTGGTCTCGGTCTCTGCCTCAAGCCCAACTGAGACGATCCTGATGGCTTCTTCTGGAAAAACAAACAATCAAATGAAGCTTCTTCCATCTGTTGGCTCAAACAAAGTGAGGCCTCCATGTGCCTGTAGCGTTACGTGGCTGTAGGAGTCCCAGTCCGGTTCCTCCTCCTCGGGCCTCTTCCTGCTCCTCTTCCTGCTTCCTCTCGTTCGCTGGTTACCATCTGGCGAAGGATGTGGGAGCAGAAAGAAAGACGGGGGAGACGGAGATAGCAGCAGAAGGTCAAACAGATGGTGCAACAAAAAGGAATACCTTCAAGACTCTTCCCTTCGTCTTGGATCTAAACTGCTCTAGTGAACATTTTCTATACTGAAGACTAGGAATGTCTCAATAAGAAATAACCCAATTAATCATATAATAAATTAAAAGAACCTCAGTAATTTAAATGCATGATTTTTCTCTTTCTACCAAAAACTGGATGATAAGTCTTCAGTCTGGTTTCAACTAGATCTTTACTTTAAGGATAATTTTGTTTACGGAGTCTTCATAATTAAGAAGACTCTTCCAAATGTCTTCCATTTTAAATGGAAGACATTTAAAATGTCTTCCAGTTCCAGAGTTAAACGTTCATTAGATTTTAAAGTTCATAGATCTTTGAGAATGTGTTCTTGCTTTGCCTTTACCATTATATTAGTTGAAAATGGTCTCAAAACAACATTATCGTTTATCGCAACTTCTGGGACAATTTATCATCCAGCAAAATTGATTGTGAAATTTATTTGAAGACTGTGATGCATGTTAGCGTATTAGCATATTAGCTAAACTAATTTCAGGAGTTCTGTAGAAAATGAAGTTCCAGTCCCTGTCAGGTTAGACCTGGTGTCTCCTGGACATTTCGGGTTTGGTCAGAGGGTTGAAACTTTGGGAGAAATTATCTGTAATGAAGGTCTTCATTACTTGGCTGTACAAAACTTAAAATGTGTGTAAATGATAGAAGAAACAGATACAAACAGATTTAAGTATTTTATTGAGTGTTTTCATGCAGTGGCATCTCAGTTGGAACTGGTGGTGTCCTGTTAAAATACAACAAAAGGATAATATAAGTATTGTGACTGTTTGAAATGCACTGAAGTGTTTGAAGGCTTTGTGTGGGTGTGGCTTACCTCTGTCTCTTCCTCTGCAGGGTGTTCAGGCTAAAAGATTCCCCGGGAGCCTGAGCACCTTTTAAAGGTTCCAGAAGAGACCAAAGCAGATGGAAGAGGGGGAGCAGTAGAGCTATGCACGCTATAAATTTAATGTTGGATTTATACTTATATTTATAGAAATGTGTTATTAGAGATGCTTAAAATGAATAGCATTTGGCAATGTATATTATTCTGAAGATTTGGTTATTTTGTCAAAGTCTGTTTGTGTGTATGTATTTTGTTTTACCCTGTTTCTTGGTGGGTTTGTTAATTGGAGCAGCCAGGGACTATAAAAGGCTGCATGTTGGCCACATTGGTTGTTGTTGCTGAGACTCTAGGCCTCTGTAAGCAGGGTTGGCTGTGTGTTAAATGCTGGTGAATAAACACCCGGAGAAGCACCATTTCTCTGCCTCAAGTCTCCTACTTCCTCCAGCTGCTAAGGGCCTAACATGATCCAAAAATGAGTCCAAACTGGTTTTGAAATGGATGAAACTAGCTTCTGGAGTTACCTTTCCAAAGTCCAAACCTCAAAATTATCTGACTTCTCCTCCGCAGAGCAGAATCGTCTGGCTTCCCTAATCCTCAGTTTAATACCTCTTGTGTTTTATTTAATTACTTTCTGCTTTTACTGCATTGCTATAAAACCCAAAGTGGCTCCAGATGTCCACATTTTAAACACTTGGTGTGATTTTTAAACCTCCACTGACATTGGCATGACAGTAAAGTTACACATTATCATGTTTTGGTCATAATCCATCAATTTTAACACAATAATGACCTCAAAACCAAGAAATAGCAACACACCGCCTCTGTTGGTTCAGTTTATAACCGTTTATTGAGAGTTTTGAGAGTGTGTAAAACTGTGGATGTACTGGGTAAGTACCTTGCGGCGAAGTGGCGCCCCCGCTCTGTTTGGGGCAGAAGGGCGAGGGCGGCTCCGCTGCAGTCAGCGGGCTGTTGTCATTGGTCAACTCAACGCCACTGTCGTTCTCTGACAGGCCCTCGGCAATAAGGGGCGTATCTCCATTCACTGCTGCCTGAGGACGAAATACTCAGATCAGATCAGGTGTTTACGAGCTAAATATCGCAGTGACCCCACCACACCTCAGAGGGCGCTACGGAGCGTGGCTGGGCAGGCTGTCAACATGATTTTTATGTCAACAAGGTAATAAAGCTCTCTCAGATGATGATAAAAATTTATCAAATGCGGCTGTTGGAGACAAAACACCTTTAAAAATGTTTATTGAATACATTCTGTTATAGTAAAAATATATTTCTGTAATAGAAACCATATCTGCACTGAGAACATTAAGCTAAGACTGTTTTTAACAAATGATAGTCCAGGTTGATTGGGGACCAAAATGGCAACATGTTACATTTTGAGGGGCGGCGTTTTACCTTCCAGCAGAACAACGACTCAAAACATGCAGATAAAAATCAGATCAGCAGCAAAGTTTCAAAATGCTACTTATCCAGTGTGGGAAATGGACACGTTGCAAACAAGATGCTTGCCAATGATGAGTAGTATCATCATTGGCAAGCTAAAACTTCCTTTTAGCTGTCAACTTGTCCAACTTAACGCACTAAATCTTAAACGTACACCTGATCATATCAAAGAAAAAGGGACTCAGTTCTTTGCTACTAATTGTCAACACTACATCGACTAAATAACAAAATCAGGTAAAAGTTTTAATTAAACAAAAATAGCGAGAGACAGGCAGGTATGCTAGCTTGACTATGGCAACTGTAACAGGTAGCTGTGCTGTGGAATTCTGTGTTTCAGTTCATTTTAAAAAAAGCAACCTAAACACCAATTGACTGACAGATCATCAGTAGAGCAGATGTTTAAATTACCTAATCAACCACGGTTGTGTTAGATTAGCTAATAGCAGCAGTAGCTAATCTAATCAGCTAATCAGTGACCACTTATTAATAAGCACAAAATCAACATCAAGCCTGAAAACATAAAACTGTTACAGACTGAATGTTCTGCTCTTTGTGTGAAAAACACACCCATTTGTTTTGGTCACACAGTAAATGCATTTCATCCATTTTTTTAATTCATTAGTATTTATTGATTGTCTCATGGAACAAACAGTGAAGAAAATGGTAAAAAAATAACATTTTCAGCTGTTAGCTTTGAGGATTTTAGCACATAATCATGATTCTCACATTAAATCCAAATCCTTATCGTAAGAAATTCTTCAATATAAAATGATAGTGTTAGGAAAAAGGTCCATTCTGAGCCAGTCTGACTGAGATTGAGCTGCTTTCCCAGGAAAAATAAAATAAAATAAGCAGCTCAATATGCACAGCTGGAACACTATAAAAATACAAAAAGACTTATCAAGTAATTTTAGTTAGTTTCTAGTGTAAATATCTTAGCACACCTGAAATAAGACAAAACTAACGTAGAAGTAACTAATCAGCAAGATATAGAAGCTTGTTTTCTGTCAATAGTGCAAAAGATATTTGCACTAGAAACACTAAAAGTACTTGGTGATATTTTGTGTTTTTGCAGTGTAGAAATATAAAAGATGTCTCTACAAGATGGATGCCACACTTTGATATAAAAATGGAGCAAAAACGCCATAAAATCTCAGATTTTCACCAAAAGCAAAGAATAATCAAGCTCAGTTTCGACAAGTATTTTAAATTTTTACCCAAATGGAATGAAATTCAGTCTGTGATCCTTAAAAACTGTCCCAAAACAGACACCAGCTTCAGCTTTGTGGTTCTGCTTGGACATTGAGGTGCAGCGTTTTGTTGCTCCTGACGTTTAGACATTTAGATAAAATGACAACAGCTAAAAGACGCAGACTGAATCCACCTGACTCAACACAAAGAGTAAAATGCTGAAGTTACCCGGCAGCTGCCTCAGGGAGCGAGCTGTTTATTTAAATTGTGCCTGTTTATAGAGAAGATCACTGGGAAATAGTTGTGGAAGTACTCATCAAAACCTCAACGCTCTATTCATCATCGCCTCTCTTCTTTTCAAGGAGGAGTTACGCATTTCTGTTGAGTCCATAAAACCTGAACTTACATAACCCCAATCTAGGCATTAGTTTTTCTGGTAAAAACTAACTTATCATGGCTTTTAAAATGCTAATGGGAAAAGTTTACTAACATCTTCCACAGGATTTAACTAATGTAGCAAACAGAAACTACAAATCAAATTAAATTAATCAGCACTTTTATAAAGAAGTGGTTTTGGCAGCTAAGTTTGTGGGCATTTCTCGGTGTGACCCAGCATATTTAAAAGGATCCATGATTAGCTATAAAAATAAACTTTATTTAGGAAACATTTATTGAAAAAGAACAGGTTGTTTAGTTTCAATGTAAATTAAGATATTGTCACCATGTTGTTTACACTGCAGAGCATTATTGTGTATTGAGAAACAATTAGTACTTTCAATTTGAACCTTAAATTAGAACGTAATGCCTCTTCATTTCCATGACTAGGGGAGATGAAGATGAGGAGGACCAGAGAGAGGAAGAAGGAAGATTAAAAAAACCTGTTGTTTGTGCTGCTACTGCTTGGATATGCTAAAGGTAAGCGTAGCGGCAAAGCTGTCCGGTTTCTAGCTCAAGCTGTTTACAGTTAGCATCGCAACCAAAACATTTTCTCAAACACATTAAAAGGATTTGTTACAAGGATTTAAAGATTCTTCACTGTCATTTTGAAAACATCTTTTCATCATCTTCCAATTTGTTTGGATTTCTCATTATTAGCTCCTGCTAATTGTGTTAGCTCCTGCAATGCTAATGGTGGTAGCTCCAGCTGAAGGTGTTAGCTTATACTAACAGTGTATAAGCTAACACCAAGTTGTATTTTTATTTTGTTATAATTACACAAAATGTCTTTTTTTCCAGATTTTTCCTATGCCTGACTGTAAACATTTTAGAAACCACCATCATTGTTTTAAGCGTGTGACTTTGAGACCGGGAGACCCTCTTTACTTCTTCTTCTGTGGTATTGTTGCTAAATTGTTTGTGCTCCTTAGATCCTCGTCTTTTATCATGTTATCCTGTGGAAGAGGTGGATGTTGTTTTCCTCTGAAAGCATCCAGTTTATTTAGAGACAAAGTTAGTTTTTGTTATAATCTCCATCGTAACATATAATTCCATCCCATGACGTGAATATTTATGTGAATTACAATCATAGCCTACTAATAATGGTAATAAAGCACAATAAATACCTCTACAGAGACACCTGCAGCCACTTTAGCATCAGACCGCAGCCTGGGCTGCTGAGTTATACGGGGATTCTCAGTAAAAATATACAGAGAATCTCAAAATGTTGCAGAGACTTGCAGGACAGGAAGTTACCAAAGCAGGTCACCCAAAGTTTACTTCAGGTGTCATGTAGCCGTGGAAAGACGAAGTGCAAGAGCTGGGTCCGAATCCACAGGAGAAAATGCATATTTCTTTTAGATTTTCTATGAAAAAGCTGAAAAAGCTGTTAAATAATAGATAAGTTGTGATTAAGAACATTGTTATGAATAATTTCCACTATGCACACCCATTCCTGACTGCTGCCAGACCAAGCAATCACTTAAACATGACAACATGAAGCAAACCTCCAGATCTCAAAGAGAACACATTGTGCCTCAATCTGAAAAAAAGAACATCTATCAGCCAAGGAACGGTCACAAAGAAAGCCACCATCCACACATGGAGAAACCTTTCGCTCACTACCATTACTCATCCATGACTCATCCAGGACGTTTCAGAACAACGGCTAGTTCTCTGGAAGCCTCGCTGACTCAGTGAAGGTCAGAGGTCATGAGCCAACAAGAACAAACTACATCAATACATATTTCTCATGTGCCGTCACACTTCCATGAACTTTTAGAACGAGCTCTTGAATCGTTCCTATCTAACTTACAAACAATAACAACAGAAATGTTTTTTGCATGTTTTGAAATAATTGTTTGGTTTAAATTACAGTACTAAGTTAAAACAAATCACAATTCGAGATTAATGAGCTACTGTCATTTAAAAAACAATGTTTGGAAAACAGCTTTGCAGCTAAGCTAGGTTGGTGGAATCAACTCACTCTCTCACTCTGTGGTTGCCTAGCAACAACCTGCTGCGTAAGAAGCAGCTTCAAGTTCCCCCAACTTTGGTTGCCTAGCAACAACCTGCTGGGTAAGAAGCAGCTTCAAGTTCTCCCGACTTTGGTTGCCTAGCAACAACCTGAAACAGCTTCAAGTTCCCCCAACTTTGGTTGCCTAGCAACAACCTGCTGCGTAAGAAGCAGCTTCAAGTTCCCCCAACTTTGGTTGCCTAGCAACAACCTGCTGGGTAACTCCCACAGCAGCAGTTTAAAGTTTTGCTTCATAACTGCTTGAAAATGTTTAGAAAAATCAACGTGGAGAGAAAACTGGATAAAGCAGAAAAGGTCACTCCACCAGTTTGGCTGTATTTCAGATATTTAAAACAAAAATATCTAATCAATAATTACTGATATTGAGTGACCTGATTGATACTGACTCTGCATAAAAGAGCGGGCCCCATTATCAGTTAGCATTCAACAGACCCCAAACCAGTTATCAGGTGTTTCTTCATACAATTTCTCTGATTTTAAAACTTGTGTTTAAGATCAGAAACATGTAATTGTGACAAAAATAAGCAAAAAGAGAATAAATCTATTTTGAACTTCTTCATTGCCTTGGACCAACAAAACCATTAAGATCTTTAAACTCCTGCAGCCGAGGTAGAGAGAGACTCACCTTTTCCTACTTTTCCATTTATTCCTAACAGTTCACTACATATTTCTGCCACGGTTCAGAACGTGCGCCTCTTTTCCCCCACCCCCGACCAAGCCATTAAAGTTTTTCAACTGTGGCTGAAAGGCATCAATCATTACAGCAGGCGCCTGTGGGCAGGTCCCGCCAGGTGAGAAAAGCATTCCCACCGCTAACAGACGAGCAGGTCTGCAGTCCAACGAGGGCAAGCCGCAGACAAAAACCTGAAAAGATTTTCAGGTTTTCACCTTTGCTGTGACTCAGTACGTTCTGAGATTTCCCCAGGGTGTTTCTGTCTGTCTTCACCTCCAACCATCAACTTCAAACGAAGCTAATGTTATCTTCCTGACAGAACATTTATCAGGCAAATCTCTGCACAGGTGGCCAATCACAGGTAAAAGGAGTTAGGAGAGGAAAGCAGGTGGAAAAGCTTTCCTAACTAAAACTGCCAGTATTACACGTTATTTAAAATTAATTACTGTAACGGGTAAACACCATATTTAGCTGAAGCTCATGCTAAAGCAATAAACTGAAACATATTGAGTTGTGGGCACCACCAGCCAAAAAAAGGTTAGCTGTGCTAGCCTTAAAGCTCTAATCATAATCATTAGCTCTGCTAATGCTAAAGCGCTCCAAAAACAGGAAGTGGACTACAGCACAGGGCATTCTGGGTAAATAGGACCAAAGCAAACACGCTAGTCTAGCATTAGCAGGAGAAATGACTTGACATTTCCAAAGACATTAGAGAAATCCTACAACTGCTAAAATCTGATTCTGCTCCATTTTGTTCACGTTGCGAAGGAGAATAAATTCTCAGGGGTTTTCATGTTTTTTCCTTTAGTGGTCTTTGGTGCAGCGCCCCCACAGGCGAGGAGGGGAACAGGTTGCCCAAAGAGTTTGACCCAGAAAATGAAACAAATGTTGCAATTTTAGTCCTTAATAGAACAGAATCTCAGGCCTAAATCTAAATCTATATGCGAAACTTTAACAATAAATGTTCATAAATGTTTGCTTCACTTCTGTTTCTCATTCGAAATGAGAAGCACAACAAGGTTTAAAGAAATCCAGCCTATTCCCTGAAGAATGTCCAGCACATTTTCAGTAAAACCGCCGTGATTATCTGTGGGTTTCCAGAGACTGAAATGGGGCTGAAGGCGAAACCGGTAAACTCAAGCTGACTCCCGATAACAATGGGACTAGAGGAGACATGTCTATCTTTGGCTAACATTTACATTTTCAGGAAACAGTCGTATAGCTGTGAAGCCGGTCCTGGAGCCGCCTCTGGGCGGCCATAAATCACCAATCAAGCTGCCAAGTCATGAGGAAACGTAAGCTTCAGGAAAATGAAGCCAGAACGCTGGAACATGACTTGTAATGGTTACTTAAAAGGGTCACACATATAATTACTGTCAGACAAACACATCACACCATGTTTACTGGAGTTTAACATCTGTTGTCTTATATTCTCAACCACTGATGAAAAAGCTACCGTTGGCTGAAAGTGAAGAGTTTCTCCTTTTTAGCGTCACGGCGACCCATCTAATGTGTCTAAATGCTAAATAATTTGTGAGGGTGAAGCACCAAACCGGTCCCAGAGTGTTTCTGAATTAAATTGGCCAGCTAGCTGGCAGCTTGCACACCTCAGCCGTTGCAGTGCTGATGACCTCGCTTCAGACAGAAAAGAAAGATCCTCAGTCACAGCTTGAGGCGTTTTGTGAAAGAGGAACTCGGTGTGACGATGCTATGGCTGTTTTAGCCCTTTGGAAGATGAAAAACAGAGGAAAGCTTTGAAACACCCACTTTTTTATTCACTTTTCCTTTTCATTGTATATTTCAGACCTGAAATCGTTTCAAAACCCCAAACTAACTTACCAGATGTAACAATATCTTCCCATAAATTCTACAGCAGTGGTTTACTCAAGTGTTTTATAAATTTTCAGTTGAATAAAGTTTTGGTTGACTGTTCAGTTGGTTGTTTATATTCATGCTGTTATTTTGTTTGATATTATAATATAATTCAGCTTCAGCTTCTAATAAATCTTGTGTTGGCTAGCGCTTCAGCATTAGCAGGACTAATATGATTAGCACTTTGTGATTAGCACAGCTAAGCTTTTAGTTAGCAGTGTCCCCTAATCAAAATGGTTGAACATAGCACTTTAGCGGTAGCAGAGCAAATGATTATGATTAGAGCTTCAGGGTTAGAATAGCTAAATTTTTAGCTAGTGATGGCCACAACTCAAAATGGTTAAATTTATTGCTTTTGCATGATCTTCTATTAAATGTTGTTGGTGTAGTGATTTAGCGTTAGCAGAGCTAATGACTATTATTGGAGCTTTGTGATTAGCACAGCTAGTGTTTTAATCAGCGGTGCCTAAAACTTAAAACGGTTAAATATAGCACTTTAGTATAAGCTTCTGCTAAATACTGTGTTGTTGTAGCACATTAGCGTTAGCTGACTAATGTTTATGATTAGAACATTAAGCTAGCAGTGCTAACCACTGGCAGCTGATTTTCTACAAATGCTGGTTGATGATTGGGGTTCCGTCCCACATCAGTGTGTGACCGTGCTGGTGACTGACTCTATGGTTCTTTCTCACACTGATTGTTAAATTGTTCTATTATTTCTTAACATACAATCCAAGAAACAACATAAGCCAAGGAGTGAATTGCAAAACAAGCTATTTGCGCTTCCAGAGAAGGATTGGCGAGTTTTTCATGGGTGCAACCTGCATTCTGAGCTCTGCTGCTCACATTTCTTTACAAATGTTCCTCTATTTAAAGGAGAAAAAAAGCTTCCCAGTGGCGCAAGATTTATTACCAAAGAGCTCAAACACAAATCTTGCTTTTTACGCCAACTCTCATTTTTAGCAGAATCTGCAGAAGAGAAAGTGACGAACAGAAAGAACGACAGATGGTTGAGGGAAGGAAGTCTGCCTTTCAGATAGAGTGATATACGAGCGAAAAAGAGGAAGAAGTGGCAACGGACGAGGGGAGCCCCACTGAGCGTTTATGACTGAAGGAGCAAAGGTTTGAAACAGGTTGACTACAGATAATAAATCTACACGGACATTATAGCAAACGTCTTTGCAGCGTAAAGTATTCAAATATTTTCATATTGAATTCATTAAATCCTTTTATTCGTCTTCCTGCTCCTCCATCGCTGCATCTATTCAGCGTTTTCTTGCTGCCGCCTTGTGCGGATGCAGCTGTTTGTGTGCAACGCAGGAAGACGCCCTCACAACCAACATGCATTCTCAATTAGAGTCATGTGACGAGCTGGCGCTGCCGTCCAGGCATCTGCCTTGGCAGCCAGACAGTCGCTGCCTTACAGCACAGCTGGGTCGCACAGAGGTGTGCGGAGCCAACGCTGAGCTCTTCCTTTCACTTATCTGCTGAACTCTGCTGAAAGCTGAGTGGGAGGGCGTCCAAACTGCGGCGCGGGGGCCATTTGTAGCCCTCTGAAGGGTTTTGGGCGGTCCGAATGAAGCAAATCTGACCTGCAAGATTAGGTGGTTTTTGCATTTGGACACTTTTTCAACATATTTTACAGCAGGGGCGTCCAAACTTTTGTAATATCGGCCAAAAAGAAAAATAAAGCTAAAATCAGGCAAATAAAGTAGCCAGATATTTTTTCTGAACTGGATATTTACTGTAGTTCCAAAATTTAAAGGGGTTTGTATGATAGTGTGTTAGGGCCTTTGTAGATAAATAATAATAATTTTTCTGAGTTTCTAAAGTAAAAAATATTCAACTTTCTAAACTCAGACATTTCCAAGCTTTTAAAGAAAATTTCTGAGCTTATTGGTGGAGATTTACTATTCTTTTTATTTTTTATTTTATGTTTATTATTTTATCTACAGCTGCCGTAATGCGCCGGGGTCGATTTTACACATTTCCTGTATTAAAAGAAAATCATCTAATTTATGTGCCATGTTCAGTAATAAGAACAGGATTTGGGTCATGTTCTTTCGACATGTAACTAAGTTTACTAATTTTTGTGCATCATTTCAGTAAAAGTATCTGAATAAACATGAGTTTACCTTTTGTTAAAGCTCGGTTATAAGAAGACAAATAATTTGTGTTTTACGTCACATTATTCATTATTCAATGGGCCAAATTTGGATAATTTTTCAGTTGCAGTTGGGATATATCTTATATATAAGATATAGAAAATAGATTCCCAACAAGTAACAAAGTTTTTGCATTTATCTTAGTTTTGGAGTAACTAGAACCGGGGTGTCCAAACTTTTGTCAGATGAGCCAAAATTGTTGAGTCGTGAGCCAAGAACACAATAAAAAACTAAAGTGAAGCAAATAATTATGTTAAGATCACGATTAATCACAATTAATATTTTTTTTAAAGGTTTTGTTGGCTCTAGTGGCCATTATTCAAAAGTAGTTTGACAGGAAGGACATGCAGCAAATGTCACCAGGCCGGGAATCGAACCTGCGACCACCAGCATGAGGACTAAGGCCTCAATACGTGGGTTGTGCTTTGCCCCTGCACCACCACAGCACCCATAATCACAATTAATCATGAATTATTTGCTTGATTTTTTTAAATCAAGCAAATAATTCATGATTAATTACAAATTGGTTAATGACTATGATTAATCATGATTAGGGATTAATACCTAGTGATTAAATGTTATAATCCACAGCACTGATCAATGTGCTGTCGATTATGTGTGTGTGTCTGTGTGTGTGTGTGTCTTACTGTGGCGGTCACGTTGCTGCTCTCCGACAGGATCGCCCCGGAGTTGTTGGAAGGCATGGCTGTTGTATCTGACGGGTCCAGTTGGTTTCCTGATTCCTTTTCAAACCTGAGGAGAAAACGATGAAGAGGAGAAATCCTGTTACAGCCACACACACTCACACCTCAGGGCCATTTAGGAGACAAATTACAGTTTCTGGACCCCTGTGTTCCTCTGCTTGGCTTTCTAACTGTATAGAGACTTCAAGAGGAGTGGCAAAAGCAAAGGAGAAGGAATAGCAGTAAGTCCCTGTTACTGTGGAATACTGTCTCTGATACTGAGCTGTAATCATCTCATGACAGCTTTGAGACAACAATACACCAACATTCTTCAGTCAGAGGCCTCTTCAGAGCCGTTGCAGGACTGACTGCTGCTGTTAGCCACTAATTATTGATTAATGGTTTATTAGATTAAATTACTTTCAGTTAGTTAACTGATAACGTCAGATATCTTTTAGTGTTGTAGTTTGGCCTCCATCCAGCAGAGGGCGCTGTTGGTTATGCAGGTTATGGTACAGAGTTAAAGATGGCAGCCATATTAGAACAGGAAAGAGAAACAATCGAAACAGAGAAAAATGGACTTTATGGGTTTCTGCTCTGAAATATAAACACTGAAAAAGTTTCGCCTTAATATCGCTCCTTCAGCAGCATCAACATATCGATAAAACATGGCACAATAACAGGTGATAAATTGTCCCAGACATTATCGCGATAAATGATAATATTGTCATTTTAAAACCATTTACAAGTGATATAATCGTAATAATGACACAAGAACACATATTCAAAGATAAATATACTTTAAATTATTGTGAACGTTTAACACTGAAATATTGAAAATAAATAAATAAAACATCAGAAACAAATAAAATATATCATTACATTTCAGTAAATAAAATTATCGACAAAAACAAAACAGGTTTATTTGAGACCAAAACACCAAACTGAAGAATTTCATCATCCAGTTTTTGGTAGAAATTATTGAGTTTGCTTTAATTTATAATTAGTTTGTCACATCAGACCAATTTCCTCCCACTTCCCAATCATGCACAACTTCGTCTTGGTTTATTTAACAAAATTTTAATAAAAACATAAAAATGTGAACAAATTTAAGCCACCATCTTGGTCTGAATTCTGTTTTTTTTTTTTTTTTTTTTTTTTTTTTTTACGTTTTAGATGATTAATAAATCGATCCAAGGTGGGACGCTCTCCAGGTTTCATCTAAAATATTTATCTGTTTTAAAGTAACAAACCTGCAGCTAAACGCAGGTTATCTGCAACTAAATGGAAAAAATGTAAGAATGGGAGTGTAAAGGTAAACAGAGAAAGTGTGAGAGACCTGAGCTCTGGAGCGGACATGCCCATGCAGCCCTTCAGGTAAACAGATACAGTCTGGGTGTGAGCTGCGAGTGCAGCGCCGGCACCGCGAATGTGTCCCTACATGCTCAATAAACACAACGCTGCTACTTCATGTAGCTGCATTCCTCTGAGCCTCCATGCTGGTGGACATGACTGACGGCTCTCAGGCGTCTGTGGCGCAGCGACGCAGCAAATCCGCAGAGACCGAACGGGTCGGACACGGGGTTCGGTTTCTGTCGCCGCAGGGAGGCGACCGGGTTTTACCGACACCCCGACCTGCCCCGAGTCACAGAAACCAGCCTGAGATTAGCAGGAGTGTGAAGAGGATTTCAGAGGCTTAAACGCCAAAGTCATCCAGAGTTTACCACGAAAAAACCCTTGTTGTTCAGTGACTTCAGGGCAGAATATCAAATAAACTCAGGAATTCTTTTTACAGTTTAAAGTAACGGAGTCACTTCCAGAGACATTAGTGATGCTACAGTTAGCTAGCGTAATGCTGAAAACGAATCAATGTATAATCGTTATTAATTATTTATTACTTTTTTGTTTTAAATATCTTGGAGAAAAGGTTAAGGCAGCCAAACTGGTGTCATAACCTTTTCTGTTTTTTAGTTTTCTCTCCAAGTCGTTATTTTTTATTTTTAAGCAGCTTTGAAGCAAAACCTTAAACTGTTGCTGTGGCAGTTACTCAGCAGGCTGTTGCTAGGCAACCAAAGTTAGGGGGTGGGGGGACGTGAAACTGGTTCTTACCCAACAGGTTGTTGCTAGGCAACCAAAGAGTGAGAGAGTTAGTTAATTTCACTCACTTTGCTCAGTTAGCTGAGACGTTGAGCGGCTAAAGTCTTTCCTCTGCCTACATTACCCAGGATGCCCTGCGGTTCTGGAACAAAGTGACGATGCTGAATAGTAAATATTCTATCAGACGTATTATCTATAGATATTGATTGCATGATTATCTGAATCTAAATAGTTATTGATTAATTATGACTGCTGTGTCAAGCAGTCATCAAACAGCAGTGAATACTTTTAGCACATGGTGCAGGGTGACATATTCTGAGAAGTTATTGTACTCTGATGCATCATCTTTCAGTTATTAAACAATGGGTGTTTTCCACAAATGATAGTCCAGTCGACTCGATTCGATTGGGAACCAAAATGGCAACATTTATAACATTTTCATTTTCTTTGGGTAACCTATTCTCCTCCTCACCTGTGGGGGCGCTGCACCAAGAACCACTGAAAGAAAGACAAGAACGACTTCCTTCTTCACCAAATGTAAGCAAAAACTGAGTCGTGTCAGATTTAAACAGTTGTAAGATTTCTTCTTTTGTTGTTAGATAAAGATCACGCGCCATTTCTCCAGCTAGCACTAGGCTAATGCATTTATTTTGGTTATATTTACCCAGAATGCCCTGTGCTGCAGTCCACTTCCTGCTTTTGGAGCGGTTTCTGCTCTGCTTGGCGTTCACATATTCAAACCACACCAGAGTTCACTTCAACTAAATCGAGACCTACACTGTAAAAACACATCTTACCAATTACTTCTAGCGTAAATATCTTAAGACAAAACTCACATATAAATATATTTTTAACAGGACATAGGTGCTTGTTTTAAGTAAATAATTCCTTAATATTGAT